GTACAAAGTTTGACAACGACAATGGGTTCACATGTTGCGTCGCTCGTCTGAGCGAAAGTTGAAATTGGCTGTTTATTGGGGGCGAAGTAATACGTAGTTTTTCAGTCTGCTTACTTTGGGATTTGTTCTCGTAGTTTTTACAAGTGCCATTTGTGAGGAGAGCGTGTGTTTTTGAAAGTTTTAACTGAGTGTTGTGTATATATGCGTGTTACTAGCGGGTTCAGTTGCATATGGTTAACGTATCGAGAATGGTTCATCGAATCTAGGAGTAATTTGATCAGGCTCGGTTTGAGCAGCCGATGTATGCTCGTTTGAGCAAAATTTATTATTTAATAACAAATTAAAACACTTATTAACATTTTGTTTACTTGTGACAAAATATTATGAAAGAAAATGCATATTTAAACTTCAAATGTGTAAAACATTGGATGTTGTAATATTCAAATGTTAACATTTGGTAAGAGATTCTAGTCGTTTCCAGCGGCGTCCATGTCTACGTTCAGCGAAGGAAATGTAATTTATCTTCTCTAATCTAGGTTGACTGGATAACTCCCCGGCCAAAGTTGCAGCCGTGAGCTAAGCCCGAGTTTCGTAGCTTTGTATACAGAAGTAATTAAAGGTATTAGAGATCTGGCCACCTCTCAAAACTTCATGCACCTTCCTTGAGAGGATCGCGGTAAATCTTATGAATGCATTATGATAACACTTGTTAGCGCGTAATGCAACTTCTAAGTTGATTAAGAAAGTCTAGTATCATAGTTCATCTTTTGTGCAGTGACTAACACGTGAAAATTTTTTGAACAGGTTTTAGGTCTAAGTTGATTTTATAAATGGTGTTAATATCTTATTATTTTACGCTTCAACACTTCTTTAGAGGAAAATGATTTTACAGATGCTTTCTTGTTTATTTTAAACTTAAATTCTCGTCGAACATCCCTCAATGCTTGAAGACTTAGTCTTCATCTAATATCTGTCGTCAGTAATGAACTACGGAAATGAGACTTGCCCCTTCACTGCTAGCCGAAGCTGAGGAAGCTCAAAGTAGCCCAGCGAGTTATGGCTATACGCGGTATTTCTCTGCGTAATAGAGTTCGCAATGAAGATATCCACATCTTTTCGTCCACATGTTCGTTTTCAATGCTTGACTTTAGCAAACGCTTACAAAAGTATGTATTAAGTACCACAGCCCTCTTGGAAATAGATGTTTTATGACAATAATGTGGGAGTGTAACGTAAAAAGAGTAAGAGTAATATGTGACAAGGAACAAAGAGAGTGTGAGCGAGACGAGTATGAAAGAGAGGGAAAAGAAGTAAAAAATTATGAAGAAGTTCCAAACGTTTTTAATTGTATTTCGACCTTTCACACAATGATAGAAAATTAATTTTACGGAGAGTACAGTCGATCACTTGCTTGTTTTTAGTTTTTTAAAACTAATAATAAACGCGGTAAATCTGTAAACATAGTTTCATTTAGTAACTAATTGGGGCAGTTATTCAATATGCCGGTTCCCCTTTTAGGTGAGCCATGCCAGACGAGTTTGACATTAGTTCGATGTAAACGTGTTTCTTTGAAACGTTATTATCGCACGTGGGCAATTAGTTGCAGTATATCAATATTTTTAAATTATAAAACATTTTTTATTAGACTTTTGTCGATAAATCAATTTATCCAGGTACCTTTAGGCACACAATGTATATACATTACTACTGTTACATAATAATACATACTAATAATTGTTTTTACGTGTGTGTTGTCATCAATTATTTTAGGTCCGCTATGTTCAAACTATGTTGTGTCACTCTCCTTGATCAGTAAATCTTTATTTATCAATAAATACTATAATGTATACATTTTTTTGTGTACATTCTGCTGGCACATTTCTGAAACGTCTCCTTGAAACTAGTCCTATTAGCTGTTGTTATAACCGTGTATGGGTCACATCAAAACGTTTGTCGTTCATTAGCATTTCACAGACAGATCCACCTTTGACGCTAAACGAGTACGTAGAACGACTCGGAGAGTAAAAGATAAAAAAAAAAAACGTAAATGTGTGTTTATTGCTATTTAGTCGAAAAGTGTAGTGATTTTCCGATAGCATCGCATCAATTTGCAGTAATAAAAATCACAAGTCCAAAACTATATCTTCTCCCAGCCACGTATTGTAGTAAAGTTCCTATTTTAATACTCACAACCAGCAGGGGGGGGACTTTATCAGTTTATTCATTACGACTAATTACGTCCGCTCCGAAATACACGTTATTCCAGTTAATTACGCTGTTCAACGTAACGCCAACATCAAATGACAATCTATAATGGAAATGAGGACCATCGCGTGTTTATATAACGGCTCAATCTTCCGAAAGTGTGATTAGCCACTAATTGACTGGGCGATACGGTGGTAAAAAGAAACTAAACGGGGCACCTTGCGCGGCCTAATGCGTGGAGATACGGCGACCGGCGATAATGCTGGCGGCCCATCTCACGACCGCTATTGGAATTGAGAAAAAAAAATTGGACGTTCGAATTTTGAAATGACCGATTCGGAATGCTGTACGACTTTGTAATCTATAGAAATAAAACTGTAGAATTGTAGTCTGCCGTTGCACGCGCATCATTGAAAATCTACTGGATAGATTTCAATTAATTCTCATATATTTTATTACTTGGGAACTTGGGAACTTGGAAGTTTTAGAAACTTCGATTATTAATGAGAATTACGTGTTCAAGCAACGTGGGGCAAGCTTTACTTTAATAATATATTCTTAAATAAAAGAATTTGTTACTTCATGTCTTCTTGTATAATTTTACTTTCAGTCCCGAGACTATTAAGCTTCATCTAAAGCAGAACCGGTGGGCTAGCCAGAACCCACGGGTTTGGATCTTCATGTCTTGCAGCATCTCTCAATAACTGCACGGTGTGTCGCCCTATTCAAAATTAAACTTACAAATAATTGTTTAAAATACAAGAAACAAATAACTGCAGTTCTTTATTTCGAGGCCTAGTAACGTTCGAGATAAATGATCGTTAATGGAACAACAACTGTCTTCTATTCTGACGTCTCCCCGTTTCACTAGTACGGTGTTTGCTACACTCACAAGCATTGCAATTTGCAACCTGGCAACCTTAAATCTACTTTCGCTCTCGAAAATGAACATTCCATAGTCGAACTTATTACAATGGTATTAAGGCGTTTACTATAAGAATGCCGTAAGTCCTTTAGCTATACGCGCAGAAAAAAGGAAGAGACGCAGGTAGAAAACTGAACACAAAAGAGTGCGGTTCTGTTTGCTCGCAAACATTTAATTGTAGTCACTGAAACCGGTGATGGCCTTTATGGGGTATAGTTTTAAAGCTCGAAATAGCTTGTTCGTCTATTTAACAGTGTAATATAAGTTTGTTGAACCGCTCCCGAGTCCAAGTTCCTTTGAAATGCACGCACGCTGGCGGTCAAATTTTTATGGCTATGACGAGGCGCGTTGCATTTAGTGCTTTTAGGTTAGTTTCGGTTCGATTCGCGGTACGCGATGATGTTTCCCCGTCCGTTTTCTGAACTGTAATCAAATTAATGGAGTGTGGTTTTCGTGCTGTGCACAGTTCAATGGTTTTAGTGTTCTGTGACGTGTGCGTTTTGGTTGCGTCGATCTGTTTGGGATTACATCGTTCCCCGTGTTCATTTGTTTTGACATCTGTTCTTATTATTACGCGGTACGTAATGGAATATGGTTTAAGACTACTGCTAGTAGCTAGTAATTTTGTACTGATTTTACTTTTATGAAGGTTCAGAGATTTATAATCTGTAAATAGTTTTTAAATTGCAACTTTTGATGATTTTATTTTAACTATTGATATTTACGCGTTGTCACTCGTTATATATTGTACGTATTAGATTATTATTAAGTAGTCAAACAGTTACTCTAAACTTTTAAAATGGATGTTTGATTATTGTTTTAGGTGCTTTGTATATCATAAATTTAGAAGGAATATTATTCAGTTAACATCTAGTGTACTAAAGATTCTTTCTTCTACTTTTGTCGGAAAAGTTTATCAGAAAAAAATATTATTATCTTAAGTAAAATCATTAAAAGTGGCTAAGGGACATGTCAATTTTATATTCCGTGGTCAAGTACGGTGTTGTTATAAAATATAAACACACACCTATTTAATTAATTATTTAAAAAAGGTTTGTTATAAAACATCCAAAACTTACAAAAACTATCTTAGTTATCAAAACTGCTTTTACTTTTAATTCAGCTAGACATTTTAATTATTGTATTCGTCTACAAGAAACCATTCAGCTTCCGATCTACGGACATTAAGGTTTAACTTTCAGAAACCACACGCGGAATTTATTCGCCCAAACAGCGATGTGCCTTGTGATTGGAAATATAACCGTGTCGTATTTTACCAACGCTTTATTGGCCGCATTTATGTGATCGAATTGCATATCATTGTTAAATACATTTTATTTTACTTATTTTATCGTACCAACAGCAAATATCCGTAAAATAGTTTCATTTAACAATATATGTCGTATTACAATAAATTAATAGACTTCTAATTAGTTTCATTCGCTTTTCATTGCGACGTATTACGTTATCTAGCTGTAGGTATTCTCTCCAATGATATTATATACAAATACGATATGTCAATAAGTCGATATGTCGCCAATCGGTGTAATTAGACTGTAATTCTATAGACTGCTGTCTCTTTCCGTATCATACGTTCTGTATCATCTGTCACATTAACTTATATTTGTCATATAAGATAAGGCGAAAGAAAATTTAAACGCCACGCAGTATGCCCATGCATCAACTTTATTAAAACATCGTAGGTGTCTGATTTTCATTTTCATTCCGATGCAATTTGTTACGTTATATGTATTCTCCTTTCGCAGATGACGCGGGCACCATGGCACGCGAAGATGTAGCCGGCGGACGGGACCAGTGAGCCGGCACCAAAACCCTCGTTGACGGACCAACCACGTGGCGGCTGCGGGCGATGACGCGCAAGGGCGTCCGCCGGTGGAGTGTGATAAGTGCTCGCCGCGCGGTGATGTGTTTAGTGCTGGTGCTGGTGATGGGGGGCCGCGCGGGCGGCAAGCAGATGAGCGAGACGCTGCAGAGGGCGCTGTCGGCGGTGCGGGGGCCGAGCCCCGGCGCGAAGAAGCTTCTCAACATCCCCGAGGACGGAGGTGGGTGACTGCGATTTTTGACGACTTTTTTATGATGACTCCGTGGTGCAGTGCCCATTGTATTGGCTTCGGTGTCGGGGGTCGTCGTTCGATCCCCACACGAGACAACTATTTGTGTGACCCACAGATAGTTGTTTCGCATCTGGGTGCATGTCCACGTGAAATTTATGTTTGTAGAACGCCCTTACACCACAGGATAACGTTATCCCAAAGCAAGGGTTACGTTTAAAAAAAAAAGTGCTGGCGGTTCGCCTGATGTTGAGTGACAAAAATCGCCCATACATTTGCAACACCCGTAGCGTTGCAGATGTCTTTACATCAGGTGAATCGCCTGCTCGCTTGGCAACCTTTCACATAAAAAAATATAAAAAGATACAGTGGATTGGTGGACTTCACGTATCTTCGAATTTAAAAATGAACAAAGCTCAGTCTTAGTTGCAATTATTTTCTATTTCGCTATGTTTTCGGACTTTTTTGCACAGCGATTTGTCAGTAACAAAATTGGAACGCACTGATACAATTACCTCGCGGATCTGACAGTTTTTTAATGATTAATTTATTTTATGTCTACGTAGGGGAGCTTGCAGTGACTAATTCTGTTTTAAAATTTAATAATGTTCGGTTTCTTGACGTGTTTCGGTCGAAATAACAGGTTAATAAATGTCTGTTTAATATTATTTGAAAAGTTGTTAAGCGATCAGGTGAACTGATATAAATTAATCACCACCGTCCATGGTATATATTTGTTACCAAAAATTACCATAGACTCGCAATCACTGCAACGCTCAAGATGTTGTTGATAAGTCCCAACGGATAACTGGTTGTTAAGCACAAAATCCTAGTACACCCAAATGTTCACGCTATGATAATCCAATTTAAAAACAGGTCAAATTTAATTAAGGTTAATGACTCGAATAATAACACACCCTCAACTTGGAACTAATATATCAAATTTATTCGCCTCTAGGAACATTTTAGTTGAACGAAACTCGTAAAACATCCTGATTTACGTTCCGCCGCCGACAATGCCTCCTCTAAAAGCTCCACGTTTAATTACTTAAAAAGTTTTGACTTGTGTCATTACTAAGCATTTGGGGATCTGGGCGAGAGTCCTCTGTAGGGTTGTCACCTTGCAGATGTAGCAGTTTCTTCCATTGGTTATGTTTGGAACTTCATTTCATATTATATGTGCTTGTTATTTGAGGTGTTGCCAGAATATTAGTGTTTACTTAGTGAAATTACGGCATATTATAATTAGGGCCTAGATAACATCATTTTAAAATAGGTTTCATAAAACCATTGAACGATATCTGCTATCCTCCGATTACCTTTCTTATGATTTGACCTAAATTTATTATTATTTGCGTATAAGAACATTAGCTCAATAAAATTTATTTTATTGTTTATTCCATCTCCTTAAATTAGAATATACTCTTGTCACGATTAAATCTGTAGATACAGCTTTAAATACGTCTTGTTCATATTGTTCCCGATATGCTGCTGCTCTATTTCTGTCCATTGATTCTAATTTGACTTTTATTATGAACGATTTTATATTGCACCGAGTAACTTTTGTAGCATCCCTATTATTAAATATGCCTTGACCTTTGAAGGTTATTATTAATTATATAAGTCTCACAATTGCCAGCCGCACTTCGAGTTCGACTTAACTCGACATCATACTACCGTATTCCGAGACCTTTGAGACCATCCCAAAGGGGGCAGAAGTTTTATTTAAAGTGCAAAATTTGTATCGCTTGTACTACAAAGTGTACAGCTTGAGGCATTATAAAGTTTTTGCAACGAGGGAATATGCTTTTGCCGAGTGCGTACACCACCTCCGGCTAAATTACCGCATGAATAGCTCTGAAGCTGTCTGAGAATAGCTGTGAAGCGCTTAACGAAATTGACTGTTTTATGTAAACATAAAAGAAAATATAAATAATATTTATAATTTCCTAAAATATATCCTTACTTTATCGCTTTGCTCTTGATTCGCTGTCACAAAGTAAGTTTTTTTTTAATTGTTCTATTTTGTGGTGTCCCAAATGTTGGACATCTTATATAGTTTAATGATTACCATCAACTTTAATTAATTATTCATTTTGTCCGAACTGACCATTGGGAGGTAAAACACCTGTCTATCCCGTGACCATGGACTCGATATAGTAGAAGAAAAGATAAATAAAATGGTTTTATTTAAAAATTCTTATTAGTCATACAACATTAGTAACAATTAGTCCAACTTATTATTTGGATTTCGTTATACTATTTCACCGGCTGAAGGCTCTCTCCATTCGTGGAGTATATACATGGCTTGAAGTTATTAGTTTGCTTTGACTTTACATTTAATTTGATAACAAAATGTAGTAAAAAAGCGAAATTAACAAAATGAATGAAATTGTTTCATTCTGTTCTGTAAACATTATTGTTTAGTACTTGGTCGTTAAGTGTTACTGACGCCCCCAGCTCAAGGCCTAATATGCCTCTGATACATGAATCACCTATTGTCTGAGAATGTCATGGTTAAACCTTAAGGCGTCACCTTCGTTATTGTTCATCAAACTTGCAGTTTAAATACTAACTACGTATGCAACCACTATCTAGTTCATACGAGTTCATCAAAACTTGTCTGAGACGTTTATTACCTTTGTGTCTGACAAAATTCGATCATTGTGCGCAGCGAAACGTTCGCGATTCGACAACAATGTTGGACACACTTCATACGAGCGACTTGAAATAGTTTTTAGATAGTTTTTAGCGCTCAACGCTCCGCGCATTGTTTGGTGCATCGCCCGGAGCGCTCAGACTTTTGCTGCAGAATTTCATGTTATGAAGTACTCAAATTACTGTACGCTCACCTCGCCCCAGACGGACAGGTGCGGTGCATTAAATCGTTTCGAGTTGTGGCGAGTTTAAAATGCTGCTCGCCAGTTCTGTTTTTGTCGAGTTTCACACTGGAACAGTCTTTGTCCTCGAAGCGCGCGAAACAACGGCGCAACTCGTAACATCGCATTAGCGAAAAGAGCTACGAGTATGCATTCGTGCCGCTTAGAGCTTATGAAGCAATTGCAGTTTTCACGTTTGAAATTACAGTAGAAACTATATCAGTCTGTGTATATTTATTACAGTTTTTGTGTGTGTCAATAGTAACAGTTACACAGTTAACTACTAGCCAATAGAGGGATCATTTTAAGTTTCTTAGCTGATTTCTAACGCCTTACCCATAACATATGAGACTTGTAAAAGGAATCTGTGTACTGTGTACTGCTCTTTTTATCCGTAGTGGGAGAAATACTCTCGAACGTTTCTATGTCCTCCATAACAGATACAAAGCCTCTTATATGTGACCCAACACGATTGTACAACACGGTCTATGCTTGACGTTGTCACCGTCTGGCCCATTGTTTATCGCCCTCCAGTCTTGTTCAAGTCTAAACATTTGCTGGGCCATTCGGACCCATCTCGACGTCGGCCAAGACGCGTGGCGTATGTCTATTTACTGCCGAAATGATGCCCCCTTTGAAGCCGTTACCGAAAACAGCGGGCGATGAGTGATTACGGAGAAGTTACATCGAAATAGACACGTTTAGGCATAGAGCTGTTTGTTTTCTTAGAACGTTTGTGTTTCCTCATGCGTAACAGAACCATTGGTGTGGAAGACTCCGCGATAATTGTTTGAAGTTCACCTGGCTTTACTTCACAGTCATAGAAGAGAAACTTTAAAGATTATTGTAAAAGAAATCTATTCCAAATAAGATCGTGTTAAGTGTCCAGTTACAGAATGATACGAGTAAACTATTAAAAGTTAATTAAGGTTTTTGACTTAAACTATTTAGGTATTTTCTATAACAATTTAGACCGAAAAATAGCGTATCTGATTTACAAAAATATGTACGGAGCGTCGGAAAAAATTGTCGCTATAATTTCGAATTAAAAACATTTGGTAAATGTTAATTTTACTACAAACTAGTATTATTTAATAGTTCATAACAATTAAGAAACAAAAATATTTATTTTTATATTTGTGATTTAATATCAATGTAACAATGAAAAAAAGACGCTACAATAAAAACTGAAACTTACAACAATAGCATAATTGATGATAAAGTTAAAGGAAATAACGAGCACGGACACAGAGTCAACTTTTCAGGAAGTAACTTATAATTAACGAAAAGTCACAAAAGTAGGAAGGAGCTTTTCTATAATTGACTCTCGGTTACCAGAAATTTTTCCTCCTTCGTAACTTTGTTAGTTATTCAGGAGGCGGACCGAGGACCAAATGGTTTCTTATATATGTATAAGGTTAAGCGAAATAACGATAATCATTAGACAGTCGAAAAAATGTTCCAGATAGCGGTTTTGCTGAATACAAATTACTTACTTGTTTTGGAATTCCATGTTGATCTTATCATCTATATATGTGTGTCTTTGTGAGTCAAAACACATACAATATTTATGCTTATATCAGTCGAATTTCTTTTTAGCAATAATTTATAATAAGATGGCTCTGTGGCTTTGTTGCCAAGGATGCCAAGGCCAAGGCTTGGTGTCCGGGGGTCGTGGGTTCGATTCCCACACGGGACAACTATTTGTGTGACACACAGATAGTTGTTTCGCATCTGGTTGTTTGTCCGCGTGCAATTAAGTTTGTGAAACGTCCTTACAACACAGGATCCTAAAGTTTTTTTTTATGTGAAAAGTTGCCAAGCGAGCAGACGGTTCACCGAAGATTAAGTGAATACCACCGCCCATGGACATCTGCTACACCCAAAAGTTCCAGATACGTTGACAACCTATTGAAAATTGGGCTGAAAAGTAAGGGCAATGTTTTAAAAAAGAAAAAAATTATAGAGCTCAGGTTCTTCATGTTATATTATGAATCTTATGTTATTCTTATTTACTTTGAAATTTGTTTGTAGTTGAGCGGTAGCGTATTCAACCGAAATATTTTATAAAACCATTGAGTCAATTTTTTTTTATCAGTTGATATTTCTCTTTAGTT